ACGACTTCGACTAAGAATACAACAACCGGCGCCTGGCCGGCGTCGGCAGAGAAACCAGCTCGAGGAGGGTGGCGGAGGACGGAGGGGGGAAGGAGGTGGGGGAAGGATGGAAGAGGGGACAGCAAATGCTTGCAGCGGGCGCAGGGGACGGGCGAGGACGGGCGGCACGGGCAGGGACGGCCGGGAACGGGCGGGGACGGTCGGGGACGGGCGGGGACGGGCGGGGACGGGCGGGGACGGGCGGGGACGGGCGGGGACGGGCGGGGGCGGGCGGGGACGGGCGGGGACAGGCGGAATCGGGAAAGAAGAAGCGTCCTCCTTATCCTGCTCACCCTGCCCTCCTCCATTCGCACTCTTCCCCCATCGTCCTCTTCCTCCCTCGGTCGCCTCGCCCGACTTTTTTTCAAGCGTAGGCGGGTCACGGCACGTGCACCGGCGTCTCCCGCGCCGACGATGTCGCAGGGCAGGGCAGCAAGCGCGCAGGGCGCGCGAGACGCGTCTCCTGGAAAGCACGCGCGCCCCGCTAGCGCGGAGCTAGCACGCTTCCCCGCAACAGCACCGCTAGCGCGGAGCTTGGGCCTCCTAGCGGGGCAGGGCTGGCAGCACAACGTGGACCCCCACACACGTTCGGCGTTTATGCTCCCACCAGGCCTGGATCCGGTCGGCGTTCCCACTGCGGCAGTGGTCCAACAACCTGGAAAGATGGGCCTTGAACATGTTGGCCCAGTCATTGCCGTGCGGGTTCTTGTGAGATTCAAACGCATCCCACTTCTGCCAGTCGTGCCGCAGGTTGCGTTCCTGTTCTGGCGATAATGCAGCCCCGACAAGCATCACTCGCTCGAAAGCTTTCCAACGGTTGTGCTGCGCCGTGCGGATGCCTGCCACCGCGGCAGAGAACATCTGCGGTTCCAAATGCACGGCGGCGTGCTCGACGGCTTTCCGCCGCTGCTCTTCTGCTTGTCGCCGCGCCACCTCGCGCTCCGCAAGCACTAATCTGCAAGCGTGCTCGCGCAGCTTGGCCTCAACCCCCCTCGCAGCATCAGTGTCCGCTCGGTGTTTTCTGGCTTCCTCTGCGCGCCTCTGGCGCTCATGTTCGTCGAAACGCAAGCGCCCGAGAACCGCCTCGGCCACGGCGGGGTTCTCCTGCTTCGCGCCAGTCAGTTGCTTCAGAAGTTCCAGGCGCTCCCTTTCCAAGTATGCCTGCAAAGAATGCTGCCCGCTAGCGCGGGCATGCTCAATCATGATGTCCACGGACTCCACCTTCGATACCCCGCACTGCGCCCTCTCCAGCTGGGCGCTTGTTTCGGCCGCGCCCTGGGTGCTGCTCGAGGGGGGGCCGCTCGTGCGGACCTCTTCCTCGTCGGCCGCCACGATGGCATCCTGGGGGTCCTCCTGTGGGAGAACATCGTCCCACGGTGTATCGTTGTCCTGGTCCACGCATTCCCCCTCGTCGTCCTGGCCGGGCAGGTAACGGTCCAGGCACCCCCTCTTCGGGTACACTGTCACGAGGAGTGCAATGGTCTCCTTCGCCCACGGCAAGTTCCCGCGATCGTACTCCTCGTCCACTTCGGCCAGGCACTGCCTCTTCAGCTGTTCCATGTTCAACTCATCCCACAGCCCCTGAAGAGTCGCCTCGCCCAGACGGTTCTGCTTGCCATCAAGACTTCCCCGCACCATGTTGTGCACTCCAAACGCGCTGGCGCGCTTGTGCATATCCGGATTGTCCCAAACCGAGCAAAAGCATCGGATGCAGTCTCTGTGCGTCATGCTCCCCATGGATGCGGGATCCGCCTCCTGCTTGGCTGAAATTGTCACGGATTCGTTGTACTGGTAGTGCCCGCTGAGCGGCCCATGCAAGTGGGTGTCGTTTCCTTGAAGGGAACCTGTGGTCCCAGGCGCCACTAGCGCGGGGCCAACATAACCGTGCTCCCAACAAACGTCGATCAATTCCTTTGCCTGATGAGGTCCGTACACGTCCAAAGAGGCAATCCGCCATTCCCGCCCTGGCCGAAGAGGCTCTAGATGCTTTCTCATGAACTCCAGCACCTCCGCTGTGGCGTAAGACGCGCTCGGGGAGACCTGCACGGTGACCTTGTGTGCGGCCGACAGGTTGTCCGCGCGGGCCTCCTCCAACTCCTCTTGCAGCCGACCCAAAACAATTGGGCCGCCCTTGAAGAGGAGCTCCGCAGGAGGAACCGCGCTAGCGCGCAATTGGTCT